AATTAAGGTATGTTCTCAACTGACTTTCAGGTCAAAAGCAGTTTGTACAAAAACGTCAAAGATAATGACCGCCCGTGTTTACACATTCGTCCTCGACAAAACCGCGTGGTTCGAAAGTTCGCGCATGCTCAAATAGCGATCTTGGCGAGTTCCTATTCTGATGACGTGATTGTCATTGAGGTGAGAAAATAGAAAGTTCCCCCTCAGATTTCTCGTATTTCCTTCGGTGAAATTCCTTAAAATTTGGCAGAGATGTTATACCCTTTTAGCTTTCCTTGCTGTGAATTTATCAGAAAAATTTGTAAGACAAGTTTTTCGCTTAGCCAAAAAACAACAAAAATGTTAAAAGCGAAAAAACTACCTTGACAACCCCTATTTTTTTCGATTTTAAAAGTTTCGTCTTGTCAGACTCTACCCGGTCGGAGAATAATAGAAAATTTTACCGAAGGAAATTGAAGAAAATCGAAATCATAGTCAAACAGGTCAAAAAATGGCGATATTTGAGTAGTTTTAATTTGGGACTAAAAGCCTTGACTTCAGAGGTGACTGTTGTGCAGCAAATTTAGGCCCTTGTTTTTTATGTTTCAGTAGCTTTGATTTGAAAAATAGCAAAAACAATCAGAATATTAACTTTCGATTGATGTCACTGGTGCGCGCTTCGTGATTTTGCATAACCCTATTGAGCCACCTTAAATGGGAATACCTTTGGACCTTGTCCAAATTATATTCATGAAGTGACAAACAACATTCTAACATTTTAAATGTTCCATTCCAAAAAAATTAAGATTTCCTTACCATCTGAAGTTAATAGTCTTAGTTTATTCCCACATTAACTTCCTGTGCAATATTTGTCATAATTGGTTGATATTGACTACTTGGCAAATATTTATTTCTGCTTTCTTGAAATGTAACCTCGTATTTAAAAGCGATGTTCCACTCGGTTAAATTCTCGGAAAAGAAAATCAGCAATTATCCTTACAGTTTCTCGGAATTTTGCTACTCAGAGGGAAGCACTTTTCGAGCTTCTCGTATAAGCATACATTTAGAGGAATACAGTAATTGTTCTTGTTCAGACCTATAATTCTTCTTACGTAGGTGAGTAGTTTAAAACTATTTTCAGGCGCCATTAAAGAAATTGTGAAGGTGTACACAAGTCAGGACTACACTCACCCGGACGATCAGACTACACCTTCACATGTTACCCCGGGTTCAAACCATTTACTGCATCAAAGAAATTATAATCTATAAAGCGAGAGCAGGCAAGATCATCGAAAAAAACCCTTTGTTGCCAAAAATATTCTATCAGGATCTTAGTAAGTCTATCTGAAAGTACTACGTTATGTCCTCAGTTACATCGAACCAAAACTAGATATATGTTCAAATAGATTGTAGTAGCCCTATGCAAAACTAGGAAAGACTTGGACTGCAACAGTTCTGAAACAAAACAAGATGAATGAATGTTCGTGATATAAATTTACTAAGCGATAAGATCCAAATTGTATAAAGATAATAAAATATATCAATGGAAGTATTTACTGCTTTAACATTTTTGACACTCAAAGCTTGTGATGAATGTTAGAGCGTGTTACATTTAGATCATGCTTTGGCTACCATTGCATAACCTGTCTCGATTAATCGTCTTAGGTTTTGTGCACATCTTCCGTTCATTTCTTACAGTTTTTGCGATGCCCAACTTGAACTATTTGCTCTAGATCATGAATTGAAAGCCAGCATTCTACTACTTGAACTACACTCAAAGACAGCCCGCTTCCCGAATTTGGTTTGAAACCATTTTAAACACTGCTGTTCGAACGGTGAGAAGGGTTAAACGCCTTATCAACGCTATTCTATAACTAATGTTTGAATCGCTCTAGAGGCAAACCTCTGCGAAATTTATCGCTTTTCCCTAAAGGTACAATTAATACCAACAGCATATATCGACTAGTCCAACACTTGGGGTGGACCAAACATGGAAGAAGTCAGTTACTCTAATTGTACATACGTGTATCAGTCTATTAAGCACGTGCTTGAAGTTTCCACTACTCCATTTGTCCTAGAAGGTCCCACATGTCTAATATTTTATGGACACGAGACAAGGACTTCCAGCCTCCCAGTTTTCCTGCCTCCTTCATGTCCTCTACTGATCGAAGAAGTAAACCCTTCGTAAGCGAACTAGCTTGAGCTACAATATTTCTTTCCTTCTTGATCGCTTTCAGTATTTAGGGGTGAAGGCTTTATTCCAGTTTAGTTTCTTTTTCAAGTCTTCCCATTTATTCTTCGCTTCTTGTCTAGCTCCTTTGTCTTCTATCTCTTCGATGTCTTCGATGTTTTTTAGTGAGTACGAACAATCTTCTTCATATTTATCTGAATGCACTTTCTGGTACCTCATCGCCAGCACTTGGGTGCACATTTGACCAAGAATAATCGCAGCCTTCTGGTCCCGTAAATCTCTAAACTCCGCCACCTCCTGTTTCACCGTGTCTAGTTGGAGTTGGAACTTTTGTAGCTTCGTTTCCAAAGTTTTCTTCTCGGTTTCAAGCTTATCGACCTTGTCTTTAAGAGCTTCGATTTCTTGGTTCTTAGACTCCAATGTAATCTGTAAATCCTCCAAATCCTTGTTTAATTTTGACAGAATCTTGTCCCTTTCGTCGATCTCCTTCTTGAAAGACTCGATTTGCCTGGTGTGGGTCTGTACAATCTCTGGATCGTGGTTCTGCCTTGTTTTTATGATACTCATTAATGCTGAAGTTTCCACTATTTTGGCAGCATCTTTGCGTTGTGGCTGAACTTCGCCCATTTTATTTCCAGCTTTGATTGCGCTCACTAGACAAAATTGTTACGCTAAGCAATGGCGCTACCACGAAAGACACATTAAATTTTAATTAGACTGACGCGTTCTGGTCTAATATGTTCTTCTATGCGCATGTCGAAAAACCTTCACCACTGACACAGACTTATCGTCCAGGCCTCGATTGTTCAAAGGATGGATAAATTTATCCACCGGATAAGCTTATCCGGTGGATAAAAAGGCTATCCACTGGATAGTTATCCGGCGGATAAAAAGTTGTTGCAGAAAGCACGGATAGCGAGACGTATAACTATCCGATGGATAACTCGCTATCCAAGCAGTTGCCATGGTTACAGCCCAGGCGTTGCGTGATCTGTTCGCTCGCGCGTGCTAGTGGCGAGACAACATGGCAGAAAATGTTGCTCCTTCCCCGGCAAAGCGCGCTAGAAAACCCAATTTTACACCCGCCGAATGCGCAGTTATTTTGGAAGAGGCGGAAGAAAATATAAACATTATCAAAAGTAAATTTTCCTCCACACTTTGTAATAAAAACAAAACGCGAATATGGGAGGAAATAACCGAGAAAGTCAATGCCCTCGGAGTTTCCAAAAGAACTGTTGTGGAGGTAAAAGAAAAGTGGAGAGGAATGGTGAGTGGAGCAAAAAGAGAGCACAACAAATGTACCACGGCAGTAAAGAAGACCGGGGGTGGAAAGAAACCGGCTTCTCCAAAGGCTACCACAGCCAAAATTATCGAGCTCTTCGAAACGGATCCGTCTTTCAGCGGCATTTTGGGCGGTATCGATTCAGGTAAGCCACTAATGTTTACAAGTTGGTTGACTTACGATGATACTTACCACAATGTGCT